ACACACACACACACACACACACACACACACACACACACAACTTTCTCCTTCTCCCCCCACCATCAGGCACCTACCACAGGGTCCTTCACAGTGTCAATCAGCTTAATGATATTTGTTCCACCACGAAGATTCTCCAGAATCTTAACCTCTCGTTTTATCTTCTTTTTCTTCACTGGCTTAAATACACAAGAGTAATCGGAAGTGAGATTCCTTTTGAAGTTAATAAATAAAATTTTAAAGCAATGTCAGCTAATCAAGTGGATGCTGCACTATCTTGCACACCATGGCGTTACGTAAATGAGTGTGTCTAAATTAGAAAAGAAATAAATATCAAGATAAAATGGGGCCTGCCCTTAAGAACATTTAAGACTAAATTAAATACAGACTCATATGGCATATGTGTCAGATCTTTAAGCAGCTACATTTAGGGCACTTACAAATTTTGAACACCCATGTCATACTTTAAAAATAAAATGCTTTCTAGATAACTGCCAAATGGAACACATTATAGTTCTGAACAGCTGTATATCATGCACTCACAAATGGAAAAACTGAAACAAAATGGTGAGACACCTGCTCTACCAATGAGTTCCGTGTAATTTTGTCTTCCACGAGTGAAGACCAGGTCACTGACATCAAGTTACAAACTTGTTTCCCAGCTGCTGGCTCCCATTTCCTGCTGCCACTCCCATTTCCTCAACATCTAAAATCTGAAATCAGCACAAAGCCAGTAAAACTACCCAACAGATCCCATTCCTAAAAAAAAGATGACGGATCAGCAAAGGAGAACACTGATCTCTGATATGGTACTGATTGGAAACTTCTACCTGCTAACCTTTCCATCTGCTGGACAGAAAAATTAAAGATCTCAATTAGAAACCCTAGCATTACATGTGTTATTTCTTGTCTTAAAGAATTTCAAGAATCAAAGTAGTTCTGGAAAAACTGACACATCACAACCAATTATGTTTTATAAAGTACTTAGAACACTGACTGGCACGTAGTAAGTACTCAATAAATGGGAGATTTACTCTTTTCACGCTTTTAGTTAGTAATAAGTCACAAAATGCCTATGTTGTGGACTCAGCCTGGCTGAGCCATTTGTCCAAGGTCCCACAGCTAACAGGGAAGAGTAGGGGCGGGACTCACATCTAGACAGTGACTCTGCAGGCCTCACTCCTGGCCACTGCGCTCTCATTTCTCAAATGTGGCTATGAGTGAAAGGGAACTAAGGAAAAGGAGTATTCTATCACGGAGACACTACTACGAAAGCAAAGGCAGAGTCGAATGGGTTTGCGATGAAATAAGATTTTAAATGCCTGCGTGTATGGGGTGGTGGGGGCGGGGAGAGATAATACATATGCCAGAGAAACTGTCATCTTTTGTTGGTCACTAAGCTACAGCTTTGAACACATAACAAAACAGCGGGAGATTATGAAACACAGAGCACCTGCATCACCTCTAACAGGGTGCTTGACGGAGAGACTGGAATCTAGCAGTATTCTTCCAAGCCAGCTGCCACAATCACGTCCGCTCCACTTTGTTAGGGTTCCCAGTGGAGTAGAACTGGCCACTGTGTCTCTCCTACTTCCACTAAGGGATCTTATTCATTCCCTTTTTCATCAGGGAGCTCAATACTTTGGGAAAATAAAGCACTCAAATATGAAGTACAACTTGATCAAAGAATAGCCAGAGAAGGACACACTACAAAATAAGTAAGTTTCAAAACTGTCAACGTCATGAAACAGACTGAACAACTGTTCCAGATTTAAAAGATATGACAACCGAATGTAACACATGACCTGGGATTTTCTTTTACTATAAAGAACATGATATGGACAACTGGCAAATAAGAACAGAGGCTGTAAGTTAGCTAACAGCACTGTATCAATGTGAATTTCTGATTTTTTGATCATAGCACTGTGGGTTATTTAAGAATTGTCCCTGTCTTTAGGAAATGCGTAATAAAATAAGCATCACTGCAATTTACTCTCAAGCACATAATCATGTGTGTATATACATACGTATACACATATATTTACATATGTAAAAAAAAAGCAAAAGCAAATATTAACATTTAAGAAATCTGAGTGAAAGATACATGGGAATTCTTGCAACTTTTAAGTCTAAAATTGTCAAAAAGTTAAAAGAAAAATAAAAGCTAGCAATTATATTTATAAATTCAGCCAATGCTACCATTACATTCAATGTAAGAAAATTCTAGAGTTGTCACCCACTCCTGGAAAGCAGTTACAGATCTGTGGCTGGTAACAGAGGAAAAAATACCCCACAGCCAGAAATCTGGATACACCAAAAACCTTCCTCTCTGCCTAACAGTGAATTTGTACAGGAGGAACCCATTAAATAAGTTGCCTCATGACAATGCCCCATATAAAGCCTTGCCTTGCTCTATTATTCAGCAACAGGTCAAGCAGGCACACTTCCTGGACAATGCAGCTGAGACCAAGGGATCTTTTCATTATGTCCTAAGGTAACTTACAGAGCAAGTGAAGCATTTTTTAAAAATTATTTTAATTTTATTTTCGGGGGGGGGAGGGCCAGAGGGAGGGAAAGAGAGACTCCTAAGCAGGGTCCATGCTCTCAGCACAGAGCCGGACGAGGGGCCCACAACCCTGGGATCATGACCTGAGCTGAAATCAAGAGTTGGACACTCAACTGACTGAGCCACCTAGGGGCCCTGAAGCATATTTTGCTGCTCAACTGTCACCTGTCCGACAACTTCCTCACCTAGAGACGGGACAGCAGGGCAATTCTGAAGTGGCACAATGGACTCACACAGCACCTAAAGTCCTCATATCCTGACAAAAGACGAAGAGATTATAAGAAAGGAAAGTGACCGACAGCTCAGGACACTCCCCTCCAAAGTGCAGACATCTATTCTCTACAGGAACCAGGCTATAGGTAACTCTCTTTAGCCTCAAGCTTACTCTTCTGAACCTGGGAGATGCTCCAGAAGCTAAAAAAACCAACAAGCTCCCAGGGAATGAAAGTGATCATTTTAATTCTATAAACAGAATTAGGGAGACAAAGTTAGAATTTATAAAGGAAGACCGTTGGCATCCTATGGAAAATAGATCATGGATTTTACAGAAATTAGAACGCTCTGACCATGCAGTCCAGTGTTTGTACTCATCCACCCACAGTTACATGAAGCGGAGAAAATACATACACTTCCATAGCAGTCTCATCATTTCATCCTGCTAGACAAAGTGTCTCCCACCTAAGGTTCATTTATTCCAAGTCAGAGAATATCTGTTTCAAAGATTCAAAATGAATCAGATTATAGCTATTTCCTGATCCCCACACCAATTTTTTTTACTTAAAGTCTAGTAGATAAAAATGGCAAAAAGGTAACAGAAAAAAAAAAAAGAAAAAGCAATTAAAGTATTAAATCAAGTTTCAATAATAAATGAATTTTGGCACACGCCTATAAAGAATGTGTAAAAGGAAAAAAACTCAATTTGAAATTTTTCTGTGCATGAGCTCAGGAAAGGAAGGAAAGGGAAGGAAAGAGGGGAAAAAACAGAGAAAGAAAGAGAGGATAGAAGAAACTTTCCCCAAGATTTCTGACCATATGGTGGAGAGTGCCGGCTATTCATGAAAACCTTGTTCAATGTGATCCAAGAGTAAGATACTTCTCTCTCTCTATTGACCAACTTGAGAAACTTAAAAGACAAATTTAGTGATGAGCCGCTTGGAAAGTCAAAAGTTAATAAAGTCAGTAATCTATCCTATTTAGCAAAGCTGATTTTTAAAAAGTCAGATCTGAGCATGATTGCAACTACTAGCACCTGACAGTGATTCAATTTGCAAAATAACACATACAAAGGGCCTAAGAATTAGGACCTCGAAAAATCCCAGCAAATGTCAACAGGCAAAGTCCCATTTTAATTTCTTTCTAGGCACAACTGAATTAATAAATTCAAGACAGGTGAAAAGATAGCTCAGCACTTTCAAATCTGGAATTACTTTTATTCCAGTGCCACAGCCACAACTTAGCTATTAATTTCACCACCCTCAATAAACAATCACAATGAACAACGGTTGCCAGGGATGCAGGACAGGGTAAGGAAGAAAGTGCAGCCCAGATGACAGCATTTATTTTACTACCTTGGGAGCATCTCTCAAATCCACTGCAATTGACCCAAATATAAACAGCATCTGAGCAACGTTGTTTCTTCACAGCAATTCTTCCTTTCATCTTTCAAGTCCCACCTTTCCAATTACCTTATCGATTCCCCAAGACTGTTTATTCTCAGGATTTTTGTTTTTGTCGATTTAAAAAAGCAAGGCATACAGCAGGCCTTTTGAATCTCACCAAGAGACTGGTATAGTCCTTCCTACTTTTGATTTTGCCCTTCGAAATCATTCATGCGGCCCACGTGAAATATTATTATTGGACCTATACTTTATTGCTAAGTGCCAGGCACTGTTTTAAGCACATTTAATCCACTTTTAGTAGTATCCTGAGATGAGAACTACTGGTGCAATTTTACATGAAGACACGGAGGCAGAGTCTGAATAACTGCTCAAGGTCACAGAGCATCTGAGTGTCGGGAACGAGTATCTGAATGCAGGTAGTCTACTCCCAGGGCCACTTTCAGGAAAGAAGCACTTTGCAGATTACTAAACCACTGCTGTCTACCTACCCACCTATCCATATCTCATTTAATTCTCCCAAGAACACTGTGATTTATACAAGAAAGGTATATCCATCTTATAGATAAGAAAACAGAGTCAAGTGGGTATAAACGAAGAAGCTGGTTCTAGAATCCAAGTCTTCTGACCTTCATTTACGCAGCACTTAACACTATACCACCTTGATCATAAGGTGGCAGATCCTAAAATCAGGCTCTAGAAACTATCCAGAGCCACGCTCTACACATGCAAATGGGTACTCTATAACAAGATATTCTTTTTACACACGGCTCACCCTCCAATAAACCCCAATGTATTAGAGGGATAAAGCTGGTGGCCCCCTAACCTGGCAAGTCGTCATGATGAGACCTGGAACTGTAGGGGTTAAAAATGTGTAAAAACACTGATTATTGTGGCTTCCAACCAAGAGAGCAAAGTAACATTTCAGTTACGCATCAAACACCCAGCTGCAGTTACAAACCAGAGAACCCCTGTCCGGGTCCCAAAGCTCTCTGGGCTATTCCACACTCCATCCAGCAACCCATCAAAGTCTAGCATTTCCTTCCAGAGGAATAACTCCCCCAAATCATTAGAAACCACACCTGACTTTTAGTGAGTGTCCATCCATCCTTCCAGGACAGTTCAACACATCAAGAAGTAATTAGCCACTGTACTAACTGCTCCTCACATCTACAAGACTCCATGACAGGAACAGAGGACCCTAGCGCTCCACGCTGTGACCCTGAGCAAACTTCATGCTCTCTCCGGGTCTCAGTTTCTCTCTCAAAAGGGTTTGGGTTCTAAGGTTTCTCTGCTCCCACATTTCATGATTCTGTTTCACTGCAAATTCAATCCCTGACCCTACAACCTCGTTAGGAACAGTACAGATTAGTTCACATCATTTTTAAAATGTATATTATTTCTGGGGTTTAGTACCATTTTAATAATATTGTTTTAACTACTTTTACACCATGACATTGGTGGGACTCAAAATCACAACAACCTTGGATAAACTAATACCAATGTCCTGCTTCAGGAAGATGATGTCTTGGTACATTTGCCTAACAAAGGACATGGAGGGTGAAACCTACCAGCAGAGAAAGCAGAAACAAAAGAGAAAGCCGGGCACCAGCATGGAGCAGACAGCACTTCCATGTAACCCACACAGTCACCTGCTCGTAATGAAGTAACCAACAAGATGTGTCAGGGACAGCCCTCCCATCCTTGCTTTAACACTACCTCCTCACAGCACACAAGTTTCACAATGTCTACAAATACGCTAAGAACACTTCAAAGATAAATCTGCATTACCATCATTGTTTTAATCTTGAGGATTAACCTCTGGGGAAAAAATGGATTTGCCCCTCTTCGTAACTAAGACCATCAAGAAACTGCCAACTTACTCTCTTATACAAGAATTTGCAACTGAGTACAGCATGAGTTCAAAACGCCGTGTTTGTTTACAACTGGTATTGCTCTTAACTTCTATTTACGAAATAGTTTTATTTTGAAGGATCCCAAGAAGGGCTGAAATCCATACACAGGTGGTGCTCACAAAATGCTACAAGCTGTTCAAAAGGGCCAAATGCTTTTATTTCTGTGTATACCTTCCTAAGAGGTCCTACAAATGAACGGAGAAATGGGTTTCTCAGAATCAGAAGATGAAACTGTCAGCACTGAAGTGGCTTTCTTACCCTTCTATGTTAACTCTTCCATCCACCCTCCTCCCTTCCCCTCAAAACAATTTCTGTCAAAAAAGATTTACCCGCCTGTTGACTGGAGCGTTTTAAGATTTCAACCTCAGAATTTCACTTCAAGATAGACAGTAAAATTTTGCTCACCAACTTCTAAATTCCTAAAACCTCTTAAGAGCTCCAATATGTTTTGATCAAAAACTACGAAAGAATCTACCAATGCAAATTAAACGGTAGAATTCCTCTGTGGTCGTTCATCTGACCATTCTCATATGTTGGACAGAACTGAAGGAAAATGTTATCAACCAAAAAGGAAGACAGCCCCGTCCTCAGGGAAAGTACCCTGTATCTCAGTCACTGCGTGTACACTTATAAGTTCCTTCCTGCAACTGAAATAGAGTAGGCCTTTCATGAAGCGCAAGCTTTTCTAGATTCCTCCAAATTATGAGCAGCTGGCACTCTGTCCAGAACCTAATTTCCGATGACCAAACACCGTAACAGCAGATTATCAGTCATAACTTATCTGAATAGGGGTGCACCACTTTGGATAAAGACCTTGTTCTTTTTAAAACACAATACTTTTAATCTACTTTAATTCGGCCTGTGAAAACAAGAAAACCACAGTACAATTAGTAGTTTCTTACCCCATCCTTCAGATAGAACAAAATCTGGATAGAAACACCACAGGGCTTTGAAAAAAAAGAAAGAACTGGGTGTCGTGGGCACCAGTGGGAAAGAGGTAGTTCAGGCTGCACCCTGAAAAGAACTTGTATGGAAAAGATACAAGAAATACTTCATTAGCTAGAGCATCAAAGGAGCCTCCCAAATCTTATTCCCAAACACTGGAACTTATTCTGTGCTCAACATTAAGATCTTACCAACCAACACTAAAATGAGGAGAAAAACAGGAAAGAGTTCTGGCTAAGGGTCATTTCAACATCGTGGTAGCAGGCAAGTTTTCTTGTCTGTAAAAATAACCTTCACCTTACATATTGGGTTCCCTAAACATATCCTGTGAATCTTTAGAGGAAAAACTCTCCAGCAACCGATGCTATGAAGTTCTGTAGAAGGACGACTCAAGAGTAATGTGATTCTCTCTCGCATGAACGCACTGCCACTTTTATATTTACCTAAAGGCCATTCCTTCGAAAAAGACACCACAGGAAGTTACACACTTATTCTAAAAATACTATCGCACAAAAGTTATTATTTTTCTGAAACTGTTCTGGAGTCAGTTCATTCTTCCAAAGGCACAGCAGAGGAATATTCCTAATTCCTTGCTTACTTCCCGGAAAGACTTTAAGCAGCTTATATTAAAAACATTTATGCTTATGCATAAAGGAAAAAAGTGTATGGCCTCCCAGGCAATTTCTTTGAAGGGAACATTTCTTTAAATATTTATGTTTGTAAAGGAAGGAAAAAAAAATAAGAAAGACCACATGGCTTTTCAGGTCCAATTCATATTTGGGGAAGAGGGGAGTCAAACTCCACATCTTCAGTATCAATTCCTCACTTCTCACTCATAACGCTTCTGATGGCACAGATAACTTTCCCTATTTCTCTCTACTACAACTCTGCCTCTTCATCATTAGGCTCAGATGGTACTGAGAAACAGAGCTGATCACTTTCCTGAAAAGGGATTTTCAGACCATGTAAGTCTGACCCCTCATGCTAAACAGGGACACAGCTGCCCTAACTCTGGCCTTAAGACACAAAAACAGCTTTTCAATCCCATGTCCTTATTCACAGCTGCAAAATGGCCACATTGGAAATCTTGTATATGCAAAAGTGCTTGTATTAATCATTCTTTTCAGTCTTTTGCTAAATGACGTGCAACACATTAAATGATCTGGCAATGATGAGGACCCTCTACAGAATCTAAGGCTTTTTTACTACACTCTGTAAAACATTATTAAAACTATCTAACCAGTTATCTGAAAAAGAATTTAGCCACTCCTCATGCTCATTAAAATCATGTCTTCACCCAAGAGACGACAAAAGGTCTTTATCCAACTTAGGCTACTAAACCAGACACTAAGATTGTTTTGTTCCAACTACAATTTTAGCATGCACTCTTTTACTGCTCCCAATTTCACCTTTACTATTTGATAAGCAACAATGAACCTTCCAGGCACTACTGACTCACTGTACCCACCCCACCTGACAAATGTGCATTGCCAAAAGACATCAGCTTCAAACTCATCTTTGGAGCTGCTCTAATTTTTCCCAACTTTCTTTGTGGAGTAATCCGAGCATCAAGGGTAACAAACTCACTGCTCAAGGAACCCTTGGATCAATGGATTCTTTACGAAAAAGCTTTTCTTTCTTCTGAATACCTATTTCAAGTGGAGCCCCTTTGGAATTCTCACTTTGGGAGCCCAAAATGACATTTTGGAAAAAAGATGTTCCTGAACTATCATCCTTGGGTTTGAAACAGGTCCACATACTTTCTTCAAAGTTCACAGGAAAATGGGTGGGAGAGTGAGTAGGGAAAGGACATCAGACAGAACAGATGTAAAACCAGAGTTTGCACTGCTCATTCTAGAATGTAGGGGAGTTTATATCCTAACCAGTGAGGAAAAATTTTAATGTCACTCAAAAGACACTCACCTTGAGAATTTTTACAACCACTCTCTCATTGTTGGTGATGTTAATGGCCTCAAATACTTCACTATACTTTCCCCGACCAAGTTTTCGAACCAGTTGGTAATCATCTTGATTACTGTGAAAGGCAAGAGTGACACATAAATGCCAAGACTTGGGATTAACCAAGCCTATGCCCACTCTACACCCCCATCCAGCCGTTTCCATTAATCAAGCATTGGAAGCATCCATACATCAGGACACAACTCATTCCCTAAATGAAAGCCACAACATAAACTTGGCTCCTCTCACTGTGCACAGCTCCTAACCTAATTGGTCCGTCACAACTTGGGGAGCCAAGGTAGGAAGGCACGGCTCTGGGCCAATCTAGAAGGGTGAGCAAAGGATCTATCCTGGAGGCTCAGAGGGTGCCCGTCTGCCTGGGGCTCCACAGCAACTGCATTATACTTCACATCCCAAAGGTAGCCAGCGCCTGCTTTGAGAATGTGGATGTCTTTAAAAGGTTTCCTCCCACCCAGCCTCATTTCAAAAAACTAAAAAGGCAGAGAATTTTAATAGCTCCAGAGGACAGCTGCTGACTGCCCACCCCAAATAGAAACCCAAAAGTGTAAGGAGGAAGGGCTGTTCCCTCATTACCACCAGGCTCCGGTCCCTGGACCCTACACTTCTCAGTAAGAAAGCATTTCTTGGGGTAAGGGGGAGAGTGGGGTGCGCAAGGCGG